TTGTTATTTTAATGACCATACTTATTTCCAAGGCAAATTTTACTTACACTGCAGATACACAGTAGTTAGCGTGTCTAAGCTCTGAGGATCCTCACTGAAAGTGTTCTTTCCTCTCAGATAGAAATACCTAGGTGCCATGGAATTACTGTCTCAGTTTTTCCAGTTTTCTGACCTGTGATACCTGTTATACCTTAATAGGTATAACATTAACAAAATAAATGTTTTCACTCACGCTGAACATGTGGTGGTAATTTTTAAGTGTTTGTATAGGGGATTTTTAAGATACAAATTTGTCAAATCAGCCAAAACACCAGCATAATTTTTCCTTTATAACCCTTCCCATATATTCCTCCACAAATCCATCTGAATTGAATATGCTGGAAAAGGATGTTGTCTTTCTCCTCTAATGTACAGTGAAATTGCTGTCCTGTGTAATATAAACAGCATTTAATATTTGATTTAGTTCTATGGATGTGATTAGTGCTTTGTAGACGTTGCAAAGATTCCCAGATTAGATACAAGAAAAGATCTGCACGAGAGGAAAGAGGTGTTATACATAAACCCACACAATCTACCTCAACTAGGTCTCACTTGGAACAAGCCAAAATTTCATGAGACATGATCACAGGTTTTCTTTTTCCTCCCCAGGAAATGCACTAATAGACTATTTGTGTACAATCCCAAGAAAGGAGACTGGAGAGACCTGGCTCCAATGAAAGTGCCTCGCTCGATGTTTGGAACGGCGATCCATAAGGGCAAGATTGTCATTGCAGGTGGTGTCACTGAGGAAGGCCTTACTGCATCTGTTGAAGCTTTTGATCTGACCACCAATAAGTGAGTACAATATTCAAGCTATTTTAAGGAAGTGTTTTATCATTGAAGCTTTAGGAGCTCCAAAGTAAGCCACAAAGGTGTTCAGGTACCTGTACTCCCACTGAGACATTTGGTCTACAATCACATCTTTAGCAACAACAGCAGCAGTTTACAGAGCCCATCTCTGGCCATTTTTCCTGCCCCACATGCATTTGTCAGCACAGCTACATTGCAAACATGCTCACCACCCTCTTTTTTTTTTTTAAGTCTGATTACTTTCCCAATTTAGTTGACCCCACGACACATAAACAGGTGTGGTGCCATAATAGGGAAGAAGTGGGAGAATGAGCAAGGGCGGTGCAGTCTAGTTGAAATAGCACTGGCAATAAATGTGAAACCCTGGCAAGAGAAATCGGGTGCTTGAAGAGGACCAGCTCAATGTCCTTCAGGTACTTGGCCTTGTGATGTCTTGCTGTTCACTTACCTTGTCACAGCAAATGCCATTTACCACTGATTATTGACATACTTATTTAATATGAAAACTCCAGGAAGACTTCAAATGTATGTGCATGCTCTGAAATACTATATAGAAAGAGTAATGACAAAAGAGAGTAAGTCATACCTGAAATTAGCTCACTTATTTGGTCTATATACTTTCCAATACTCTTCTACACAGCCAGAATCTTTTGCAGTCAGCATCCATCAAATGTTTATGATTTTCTAGGCGTTTATACACTCTGCAATATGTCTTTCTAATCTTAATTTTCTTTTTTTTGTTACTTTCATTACTTTTCCTTCCTATCACCTTCTTTACAAACTTTCATTTCAAATAGTATCAGTAAAACTCTATTGTGACAGCTCAAACTTGTAAGTGGTCCTGAATGCACCTTTATCTTAATAAGCACTTCTGCTCTATATTAACACATTTGCCTGTGCTGTCTTCACTGACATGTGGCATTGCAGCCTTCAACCTCATAACAAAAGCATTAACTTAAATGTATGCTATCCCAAAGAGACTTGCTTCTAAAATTTAACATTACAAAACAGGCATTATACAAGAAGTAATTCCATGAGGGAACTTCTAACTTTACTTCTATAGAAAGCAAAGTGAAGGTTATTTGTTACCATGATGTCTGGCACATTCTCCTTTTCCGTTGTTCAGAAATATGCAGCTCATGGTCTGAAAAATCTGCAGGTTCTTGTCTTGGTTTATTCTATTTTCTTACAGTCAAGTCACACAAGCAAGAAAGAAAAATTGGCCTATTAATTTTAATGTTGAGATTATCCTGAAGTGGGATGTTTGTGTGTTTTATATGTTCATAGGTGTGAATTGGCAGAAAAATTGAAATTATACTAATGAGCACCAGTGATTATTTTTTTAGCTCAAATTATTATGCCAATGCCACTTGAATATGCATTTTGGAAACTATAAGGAAAAATGAAGTATATTACTGATGATGGCACCAGGGAATCTGTAAGAAGTGGTCTCTGGGACAAGATGTCATCACAGTGTAATTGTGTCATTTAAGACCTGCAGAAATCCCTGTGGGGATGGAAACACTGAAACTTACTGCTAATAAATCTCAGAAATTTTTCCTTTTACTAAACCATTCACTCAAGTGGCCTTGGTTCCTGAATTTGTGTCACTCAGAGGAGTATCTTAGTGCATTCAGTTTACAATACTTCTCACATGTTTAAACTTGAGTTTTTCTTTTCATCTTTAGATGGGAGGTTATGCCTGAATTTCCCCAAGAGAGAAGTTCCATCAGTTTAGTCACCTTAAGCGGAGCTTTGTATGCTATTGGAGGCTTTGCAATGATTCAGCTTGAATCTAAAGAATTTGCACCTAGTGAAGTCACTGACATATGGAAGTAAGTTTAATTTTAGTCACACTTTCCTGGTGGAAACTGAGGTTTGTAGACACTGGAGGCTAACGTTATTTTTCCGTTTAACTCTGAAAATGATCCATAGCACAGGTTGTAAAGCACTTGTTGACAGATAAAAAAGTTTGTCAGAAAGTATCAAATAAACACGAGACTTGGATCAGATGACTACTTCCACCTACAAATCATTTGACCGGTATGAGTCATGATCTTCAGTTTCTTTAAAAGAGTAAGTTGCCATATCACTTGGCAGGTTTAGCCTTGCCAATAAAAACATTCTCATGATATTCTTATGCAGAAAAGCATGTGTACACAGTGGCCTGTACATACTGATGTTTTAATAGTCAAATGAGTAACTGTTCCAAGAGAATTGGAATTCCCTATCTCCTAGATTTTTTTTAACCTACTCACAGTATCAGTGATAAAACATCATATCTCTGCTGAGACTCTTCACTTGTTAATGTAAATTGAGAAGTTTTAATTGGCAGTAGGAGGGATTCCCCCAAAAAACAACTTTATATGCAAGAATCTGAAGAAATAGAGAAGGGATACTTAAGACAAAGAGGAAGCTTTATACAAGTAATTAAAGCATGACAGAGCCAGCAACAAGCTTTAGGGACCAGGAAAAGGACAACTCAGGCACAAGAACATCTTTCTGTTCTGATCCAGAGGACAAAAGCAGCCTTCTGTGGCATCCTTTAGCACATGGCTGCTACAAGCCTTTGCAACAGGTGCACTATCCTCCTTTTCATGTATGTGTGCTGAAGCATGAAACTAAGAAGCTATTTTCTAACCTTATTTTTTTAAATGCAGGTATGATGATGAAAAGAAGGAATGGATTGGCATACTGAAAGAGATCCGATATGCTACTGGAGCCTCCTGCCTGGCTACACGCTTAAACCTCTTCAAGTTATCAAAACTGTAAACAAAATGCTGGAAGATATGATATGGTGAGGGAGTTTCAATAGGCTCTTCTGGTTTTGTTGCATGAAAATGTCCCCAAATGGTACAGTTTTATAACAGCGTGCTAATTATACTGGGAACCGTTAAACAGTTCATTTGTCTGTCCACATCTTAAGATATTTACTAGTTAACCAGCAACCACTGAATTTTTGCCAGTGTTTAAAATCCTGAAGAGCTCTAATTAACATTGATTAAAATAAATTAAGATTTCGGCAAGGACTCCATTTTTCACACTGTGAAATTGCAAATAAAACCAGTTAGACTTCCTTGCACTCCAACAATCCAGGATATTGGTGGCTTACCCTCCAAACAACGCCCATGAATTAACTGTTAAGTTAAATACAACTAATAGGTAGCTAGTTTTATTCTAACTGGTAGTTTGTATAGCCAGATTTCCCCTTTCAGCAGCATATGTAAATCCTGTACTCTTCAGCAATATCTTGGAAATATTTTTATCACAGCCCTCAAAAAAATAATTTAGCCTTGAATTGAAATGCATGTTAAAAACAAAAGGGGCTTAATACTATGTGGCCTAATAAATGCCAGTCTCAGCCAAAGCTGTACTAGTAGCCAGACTTAAGGGAAGAGAGAGAAGTTCACAAGGTTAATAGCTCTAATGTTTCACCTACTATGTTTAGGCTTCTAGTAACAAGGATTTTCGACTTTTTTTATGCTTTTATATTTATTTCCAAAGCAAATATTTTATGGAAGTTTTTCTCAGAGATCTGAGGCTGATAACAAGCATTCATAAAAAAGTCCAAAAAGAGTTGATAATCAGTAAATACCTATGACAGAGAGGACTTTTTCATCTAATAAAGAGTTGATGCATTTTGACATTGAAAACTTTTAACAATTAAACTTTGTTTTTAAAATTATAAAAGTATCACTTGATGGTGTCTTTTTTAGCAATCAGCTCATCATCACTACCATATTGACAGGACACAGATTTTAGTACAGCCTTTGCCCAAAACAGAGCACTCAGTTTTCTTTAAGTAGAGTATCTCCTCAAAGGATTTCATAAATCTAAATCTAATTACAACTGATGTAGCAGGAAAACTGGAAAAGAAGCCCACCATACCTGACTGAATGGCAATTCCAATTATCAAATGACCCCTAGCACTGCCTTCCTAGGAGACAGAAGTAAATATATGGCAAAGGCACAGCCATCATAGCTCATTTCAGTATGGTACTGTCTGCCAGTACTTAATCTGTGGAAAATCTTTTCTGTTTACCCCTTTAGTACCCAAATCCTCTGCTGTTCTTAGCACCTTTTCATTGGCTCCAGTTAGATCACTCCTCTAACACTTGCTGATTTAATTTAGAAACAATGACTGCAAAGGATCAAAGACAACACATTTTATTGAAATACTCTTTTCAATAGTTTGCTTTTCTTCGATGCCCTTTCTGAATCCACTCACAGCAAGTTTTAATCCTCTTCCCATTGTGCATACTCATAACTTTATCCATACATAATCTGAAGATAGCTGGCTTGGCACAGTGACTGCTAGAACTCTGAAAAGCAGCGTTCAGCTCAAACACATGACCACCCATGACTGAACATTTAAGCCACTGCCACCTTTCGTAGACTCCAAGGTTGCTTCGTGAAGGCCATCTGTACAGAAACAGGGTCATGCAACAGCCCTTTGACATGTAGCCCACCTTCTGAGATACTAACCTATATTTATGATTGTTTTCTCCATTTTATACAAAATAGAATGTGCATAGAGTCTTTCTATGGCTGTCCCTTCAATGATACTTCCTCAAAGCCCTCTACATCTTGCAGCCTAGATCAGTTCTGTTGTTTTTTTCCTGAATTTCCATTCCTGTCCTGATTTGTATTCAGTAAATAAAAATATTTTCTTCTGCTACTGAATAGTAAAACCAAAAAAAGTGACAACAGATGCATAATGGCCAATTCAGAAATGCAGTTGCTTACCTCTGCCAGGTTTCAAAGGAAGTGGTAAAAGAATGTCTACTGCTTCTACTAAATGAGGAAGAAAACAGCCACATTGTGTATGTGAAGGACAGGCAGAGCAAGCAGTCATGAGATGATGGCAGCGTGGGCACAACGTGGCTGCCTCTGAAAACAGGCTGATCTGTCAAGTATGACCACTCTACAGTTTGCTCTACAATGAACATTCTGCTGCCTATTCCGTTTTTTCCTTCTACATCTCAGTGTCTTGTGCCTCCTGCACAAACCCTGGCAGGGTTTTTAGGTATATGGAGGTGTTCCAGAAGGCTCAGCCCTACTTTTGTATGTGCCACATCACAGGGTAGGAGAAGCAGCTGGAGGTTCCTCGCCACGCAACACCCTCCCCCAGCACAGTCCCCCACAGTACCTCTGTTTTGGGAGACGGAAACAGAATGGCTCTAAAAGCAGCCCTATGCTTAGTCAACTTGCATTTCAGTTTCTTGGTTTCAGAGTACAGATACTGTTTGATTCCCAGCTGCTCATTCTGTCTCATGCTGGAGGACAGACATAGTTTCCAATAGATTGCTGACGCTTCTCTCACAGTCAAGAGTATTTCCACCTTTTTCTTTGGAGAGTTTTATGTCTGGCTAAGCCTCTGTATTATTTATTTAGGAGATGATAATGTAATTTTACAGCAAAACTGCCAGAGCTTCATGTGATTAAACAATAGCTTCCAGATAATAAGAAATTTTAAGCATCGTTATTGGATCTTCATGGCCCACTATGACCTGCCTTTTGCAATCCCTTTACACTTGATGCCTGTGGCAAGCCTTGGTCCAGCTGACTCACAGATAAAGAGATTTTTGAAACTATCTATTCCAGGATTACAAAACGTTTGGTGGTACATAAAATGTTTTTATAGAAGTACTTTAGACTGCATGTCTGACATCACTGTATTCCATATAGCTGCTGTCTCAGGTATTCTAGCTGTTCACCTTTTGTTGACAGAACCATAGAATTCCATTCAAAGTGAGGAATCTGTAGAATAGAATCATACAAACTGAGTGTTAACACTGGTGTAAGACACATACCATTCACAGCAAAGGCTCTCTGATATCTCTTGTTCTCCACTTGAAGATATTTGATGACCTGTGTCCCTCCAAAAGCTAGGCTTGCTTTAATGTGGGAACGAGTTAAGCCAGCAGCACCTGCATTCAGTTAATTAGAATCAAAAGCGAGTGTTTCAGCCCTGGAGCTGAGAAGGAATGTGTGAATCAAAACACCGAGTTTGCGAAAACCCCTGGGAATTCTGGTTACCTGAATAACAACAGCAGGTACTGTATACCAAAGAACCCTAATAAAGGGGAAATGCAGAGAGAGCTCTGGGGAGAATCCTGAAAACCGAATCATGGTGTGTGTGCAGCCTCATTTCTTCATCGTCTCTATTTGGTGACCCTGACGTGATGTGCGTTACGGGACTTTTCAATGACCACGACCCAACAAGGGTAACGGAGTTAGTTCTGCCTGGGAGAAGTCTGTCTCCACTTGAATTCATTGGCCGCACTCTAATACTGACAAGATCCATTTCTCAGTGTAAGATTCTTCTTTATGTAAGTACAGTCAGTTTGTTGCCAAAAAGCAGCATAGTTGCAGAAGTGTAAAACAGATGCCCACACAGTATAGGCTGTGATAACTCCATTACACCATCTCCCACTTTTAAAATCCAAATTGAGAGAAAAATCCCAGGTCACTGTAGTTTTTAATGTTAATCTATTAGACTGGAATAGTGTAGCAGTAGTATAACATGAGAAAAGATGATTATTCTGTTTCAAAGAAACAAGAAAACCAACCAAATTTAAGCTAAAAGAAGGAGTCTAGCTAAAATTAGGGTAGGTGAGTAATTAAATATACAGGAGCCTCCAAATTCATGAGCTTCCATTACCAAAATGTTTCATTGCTGATGGTTGTGAATTATCACTGGCCACTAGTGTTCCCTGTCGCAGCGCCATCGCTGCAGCAGACAAACAGCATCCCTATCCCATCTGGCAGCTGCCAAAAATGGCACTCAAAACCACTCAAGGGTATGTTCAATCATCTTCTACTGTAGAAATCTTGAGTGAATTGAACTGAAACTCTCATTTCACTTGTTCTCCTTTACTCAGGCTACATTGACATAGCTAGTTTGCCTGCAGTAACGTAAGACTGAGACCTTTTGACTTCAGTTTTGCTTCAGCCTCTTTGCAAGTTCTATGAAGTCCATAAATCATTTTGAGAACAGCTTGGAATTTCCTCCCTAAATACAAAAATTGCTCTCACCCAGTAGATGCTTTTAACTATAAAAACTGTCTCTAAACCTGTTGCATGGAAAATGGATCATTTTGCACTATGGATACAACTCTAAAAGGACAAAGTATTGCTGGATGCTCACCTGAACTACTCGGTATCCCAGCATTTCCAGGTGTCGTTTTTTCACTGCAGGTTCTCCTTTCAGATGACGTGAATAATCTTTGCTAAAAGCTCTTGAATCAAGAAATTCCAAAGCAATTCTGCAAACAGCAAAGACGTGCATTTACTTTCAGGTCCTACCTGAATAGCAAGTAGTGATATTTCTAGTTCAGTACTGATAGCTGCAGTAAGACAAGATAAACCTGACAATTCACAGAAAAACAAAATTAAATAACTCCCAGAAACCAGACAAAACATTTTCCTCTTATTTATCTAGAGTATTTGAATTTTACATGATTTAGAAAAAGCATTTTTTCCTGACACCTGTTTTTGCTCAAATGGTAAAAACGGTTAACTAGCATTTTCAAAGCTTACATTTGAAGAGGTGGGAGGGAAAGAGTATTCCAATCTCATGAAACACATTTCAAGAATGTATACTGGATCTGGCTGGGATGGAGGTACTTTTCTTCATGGCAGTTCATCTGGTGCTGTGTTTTGAACTTGTGACCAAAACAGTGTTAATAACACACCAATATTTTGGCTATCACTGAAGAGCTATTGCTTGCACAGCATCAAGACTTTCTCACTCTGCACCCACAGTGCATATAGGCTGCACAGACAAGAGGTCTGGAAGGGACACCTTCCATGGGAGGGAACCTCAACTGGTTAAGGCGATATTCCACACCATACATCATCATGCTCAGCAATAAAACAGAGGGGAGTTTTTCCCATGTAGCCACTGCTCTGCCACTGGGCTGCTGGTGGGAATGACTGCATGTGCATCAATTGTTTTCTCTTCCCCTTTTATATTTTTCCTTTCTTCTCTTCACTTATTAAACTGTTTTAATTGCAACCCAGGAGTTTTCTTCTTTGCTTTTACCCTCAAGATTCTGTCCCCCATCACACTGCAAGGGAACGAGCGTGCAACTGTGTGGGAGCAGCTGCTGCCAACCCGCCACACCCTGGAAGGCTAAACCTCATTAGACTTAGGAAAAAGGAACTAAAAAATAAATAGCATAAGGGTTGCAACAAATATTTAGGACATAAGCCTCAAAAACCTGGCCTAAACTGGATGTTAACTTGGAAGCTTGGGAGAGCTAACGTGCAAGAATTTAATGCACTAACCTCTGAGCTCCTGGTGGCAGAGCCTTTCTCCCTTCATCTTTGATGTCATGTCTCAAGTGTATTCCCCCCACATCATCCAAATGTATATTCTGAGCCATGTAGGAAAGAGGCTTTTTATTTTCATCCAGGACACACTCAAAATCTGTCAGAAAACACAGCAAACCTGTTTACTGACAAAAGTGAAAGAATTTGATCTGTACAGTGTTTACTTCTAGAAGAACTAAGTGATAGCCAAAATTAGAGATATCCAACTTTATTTATATTATGCAGAACTTTTTAGAAACTGTATTTTACACAACAATTTCTTCTTTGCAACATCTTGTGGCAACATGACCACAGGCTTTCTAATCTTGGTAATAATAACAATCCTTAGAGTATTAACTTCTCACCTATTTCATAGTAGTATGGTGTGAGAACAGATATTCTGGAGTACTGGCTCCCTCCTAAGATCTCTGTCAGCATTCTGTGAACGTGCTGTCGCAGTGGATTTATTCGGCTCATGCCTACAAAGACAAAATAAAGAATTCATACATCAAAACTTCCACAGCCAAAATTCTGAAAAGAGCACTTTGAGACATTGCATTTTTGACAGCCAGGCTATTGAATTAAATCTTTTCCACAGATCCCTGGGCTATTCCATCATAATTTGGAGACCAAGTGATCATATTTTAGGTGGAAGGCAGCAGGTAAGTGCTACTGAGCATAAATTTCAAATCCAGACTTTCCATCCGAGAATATTGCTGATTCACATGCTACAAAAACTTTAGTTGGAGGTTCTACCTGTTGGATTTTGTTTGCTTTTAATCGTGTTTAGACACTTAAGATTTACTCATCTTGCCTTTATTACGGGCACACCACACTATCTGTCACTTCTCTGTCTGCTGCAGATTAACACCTTGCTCCAAAACATCTTCAGTCTCTGAGAGACAAAGTAGCTGAGTTCTCTGGATAGCAAAGCAGATTTCTCCATGTGAATTAGTGGAGGATAGATACTCCAAGCATTAGCTGGATTTTCTGAATTCATCGCTATTCTGAAAGATCTCAGCTGCCACATTGATCACTAGCCTACTTCTTTATCTCTCATTCCTGATGGATCTTGATTCTTCTGAGGAAGAAGGCAGGAGCAAGTTCAAAAACAAGCAGTAAAAATGTTCCTATTGAAAAATTTAAGTCAAGTCTTGTAAGTGAAGTAGGGAGCAAAGTGACCCATATCCTCCAGGAGACAACCCTAATGGTCCTCCTCCTGTCTTTCCATCCTTCATGCCATATACATTGTTTCTGTTTATTTAGATTTTATTTCTTAGAAGGAAAAATCCCATCTCTATTATATTAATTATCACAAGGAAAACTGCTTTGCTCTCTGTTGCACTACTGAGTGGTTGCACTTTCCAAGACATGCTCAGCAAAGAGTGGGTTGCACCTTCCTGATCTTCTGTGGTGTGGTAGTGTCAACCTGACAGTTTTAGAAGAAACATCTAGTAGATTATTGAAAATAGACTATTATTAGAAACAAGGGCAGGTTCTCCTCTCTTAAGTTACTTACTGTTATGAAAGACACGTTGACAGTACTGCTCATGAAACCAAGGGATGTGAAACTCTGGGCACTCCAGACAGACTGCTCTGTTCAATTTCATGAGGCGAGAGCAGACCCTCTGCTTTAGGGTATCAGGCAGGACTGATTAAAAAAAACACAAACAAACATACAAAGGTGTAAACTGCAATGTGAAAAATCCAACCTATGGACCTAAATGGCTGCCTCTAAATTCTTTACTAGAAATGCAAGTGTGTACACTATGGCATTTATAAAATTCATGTTGCAGAATTTTAGAAACGTGCTCAAAATCCCTGAGGAAAAAATGAAAAGTAACAGTTCTGCTCAATGTTAAGAACAACAGCAAGACAGAAGATATAAAATTGCTTCTATCATTTAGCTTTTAATTAAGTACTTGAAGGCAAAATGGCAACAATACGTTGATAGCGAACAATGTACAGGTAGAGAGGGATGAAATAAACTGTCTCTTATTTAGAGAGAAGAGACTGGTAGGACACATTTCTTACAGGCAAGAATCCCACTATATTTCTTGAGCTTTGTGACTCTTTCTAGTAATAAACAAACATCAGAGTCAGGTAATTTTATTTCCAACAAAACTGAAGAATTATTATATACTGAGTACAATAAGTTGACTATAAAATTTGCCTTATATGACCTTTTCTCATCTGCAATACAAGTCTCTACTTTCAAAACAAAGCACAGATTTTTGTTCATTCCTTTCCTTTTAGTGCTCAAATCATGACTAGATTATATAGAGAGAGTCTTTCTAGAAAATGGAATAATTTAAAGAGTAATTCTACTTCTCAAGTCATAGGTAGTCCATAATTGCATTTTATGCCAAATGCTACACAATCAAATTCATCAGAGAGCTAGATATCTACCTTTAAGTTGAGCATCCAGTTTGCTTAGGAAAGAAACATTAAATATCGTTGTTATCAGAATTGGAGGAAAATACCCAGCCACTGCCAAAACGTGACCAAGCAGCACCAACTGATAAATTTCAAAATAACCTTTAAAAAACAGACAGAAATACATATTAACACATGACATAAAGTTGAAAGGATTTGCAGTGCCCTTCTCCTGGCCTCCCAAATTGTCTAATTTTCTCCCTTAACGTACTATACAAGTTTCTACACACTTCCTTTACAACTTTAACCATTTATTTGTGATGGATCACAAAATGTATCCTGTTCACAAATGATGATTCCTTGGGGAACACTGCAACAATTCTATCCAATAGCAGCACAGTGAATTAACCAGAATTATCACTTGCTTTTTACTACACTAAAATTTTTTTGCTAGTCCCTTGTTAACAGTAATTTTTAAAGGGTGAAATGAAACCCAGCATTGAATCTTTGTAATGGTTTAACCCCAGCAGGCAGAGTATTAGTAGTAACATATATGCTTTTTCTTTGCTTAACAAAAGTGCCATTCTATTCCTATTTTCATTCGATAAAAATAATAACTTTCAGTGACATTTATTTGGTGTCAGAATATCTTTTTCTAATGCACTTACTCAAGTTAGAAGTAAGATGTTGGATACAACTCTTAAAGAACTCTTCATTGTCATAATTCAAAGCAGAGAAAAGGAAGAGAATAAAATAGATTTCGGAGGGGTGGATCTGGAAAAAAAGACATCCAAAATCAAGTCACTGCAATATATAATAATATTGCTTTACAATAAAGAAGAGTTTTATACTTCATTCAGAATTGGGAGATTTAAGACAAGATGAGCTATTTTCTAATTTTTTTGTCAACTATTCCAGAAGGAAACAATTGAAAAATAAAATGCAGAAATAATTGAATCTGCAGCAACAGCTAAAACTTAAGATGTATTTCACATAGATGATCCAAGTGTTTCTATGTACTTAAAGAATCTTTCAAAAAGATTTTGCATTAAATGCTCTTAAAGAAACTAAACTGCAATAGAATAAAATCAAAGATTTATATGAACACCAGACTGAGAACGAGGAGGAAAAAAAGATAGTAACAAAAAAGAGTAATTTTGACCAAAAAGACAAGCTACTGGGGAAACCCCCACAACAATGAGTAATGTTAAAATACACACCAGCTGATGTGGCTATTTATAAAGAAGTTTAAAAAAAAAATTTAAGATGGTCAAATGTAAAGTCGAATGCACAGGATTATGGCTGACCTAACACTGACTGAACAGTAAGAAATGAAAACTAATGAGAAGTAAGTGCAAATTTATATAAATAGAAGCAAAATAGCTTTGAGTGAACACAAAAAAAGATGAGCTCCAAATCAGGTACACTGAGGAGAACTTAGAAACACTGTGGACTGTGCNACACATGAACCTCTCCTTTTCTACTGAATAACTCACATAGCAGATAGAAAGAAAAGCTCTAATACCTTGTCTGTATTTTCAACAGTCACAGAAGCTATTCTGTCAAATAAGGCAGGACAACGGTGGTTTGTTTTTTTGAGAAAAAAAGACAGCGGTAATACATTTGTCCACGTTATTTGGTCTATCAAGCGTTGACACATGGCCACAGTTTCCTCATTCAGGACTTCTTCAAACCACTGTCCATTCACATGTGTAAGTTCTTCCAACAGAAGATTTAAGCTGTTGGTTTTCTGAAGCCTCTCAAATCCACAGTCATTTAGTTTTTGCAGAAGCTTTGCACATAGCTCAGAACTGTTTTGCCAGTGCAACTGGTCATGATGATTCCATTTGACAAGAGCTGTAGCAATGCAATTCAGATGATGGAGACTGCATTGAGGCAGAACTGCTGCTGCTTTGTTTGTAATCATCTCCTCCACTTGAAAAGAAGGCAGCATGGCCAGAACACGAATTATGGCTGCAGTATCAGCAGGTATCACACTAGATTTTAAATAACTGGAAGGTGGAAATAAAAATAGTCCATCAGTAATGACAAAGTGTAAGTGTTTAAAAACCCAAATAAACTACATGCATGAAAATCCTAATTTAGAAGTCAAAAGCTGCATATCAAATATAAAATAAGTAGAATATTAATGATGTGGTAGAAATTCACACTGTTAGGGACTACCATGTTTTTTTAATTAAGATTAACTTCTTCTAATTTATTCAAAACTGAAAAAAGGGAAGAAGACAGGGAGCAGCTCAGTCAGCTGGAGAGGCTTTAAATGTTACTGATAAACACAGAAGTCCTTATTAAGGCCAGAAGGTCCATATTTGTTAAGGGTGTCTGTGGGTTTCTGGGCCTGGGTCATTTCTCTGATTTCTGTCTTAGGGAGCACCAGGTTCTGAGGTGCCTGAGGAACATGAAGGAATCATCAGCAAGGCACTACATTCCTATAGAGGCTGAGCAATGGAAGGAAGATCTCCTCTCCAGCAATTCCAGAAACTGTTTCCCTTTCTGCTGCAACTCTACAAGCCTAAGAATTAACTGGACAGTTCTTCAGTCAAAAGAAAAGTACTTCTGCTTCACACTTTCACTTGTCCCAACCAAGGCATCCTTACTGCCTATTTTTCATTACTTCTTCCATCAGACATCAAAGACGACATTAATACCTGCCCTTCAATAAAAAACCAATCAAAATTTCCTGTCATTTCAATATTGCAGTGACTAAAGGAATAAGGGGCAAAAAAATATTTTTGAAAGGTATCATATCTATTAGCAGATACCGTTGGGTCCATAAACAAGACAACAATCACTTCCTATCCTCTGATTTAGGCATTTAAAAGAATCAAATATTGTAACAGTTTGTTACTTCTTCATATTTTATGGAAACAAAACACTTTAACGTCTTAGCTTGTAATTTGAAATCTTAGTAGAGAACTGTTTAATACTTAAATAGCTACATTTCCAAGAATACACACTTACCCTAATAGTAATATTTTCAGTTTGGAAAACAGCTCCAGATTGCGGCATCGCAACCCTGTCAGGTACTGTGTTAACTTCACCAGCTGTAACACATGATAACTATCCAAGTGTTTGGGCAGAACAGAAGCCATTCTGAATACAAAGAGAAAAAGATTACATGGTGTTGTTACGCTAATACAAAAGATACTGCAAACTCCAACATCCCACATTGAAGAAAGGGTGTCCTCTGATGCACAGTACATATATATGGAGGGTTTCACACACCTGCACTCCTCTCCACACCAGTTTTGACACTGGTCCCCAAAGACACAGCAGCCTCTCTCCATTTAGTGAACTGCAAAATTAAAACCCTCATTGCAGCAAATCAGCTACTTCACACTAATAAGTTCTGTTTCAGATTTCACAATCAGTTAAAGTGGACCAAGAATGGAATAAACTAGAACAGCAACACCAGCTTCAGCACCACTGCACTCACTGTTGGTCTAAGGCTGCAAAGAGGGGGATAGATTTGTAGGAAAAGATAATACCTTAAGACCTTCTTCAGACAATGAGATTCAAGGAGAAAAGGCATGAATTCACCCTTAGTATTCCTTTGATCCATAGTACACAAGTATGTCCTTTTTCTTCCAAGGATCTCTTTGGTTCATACAACTACCTGCAATCCAGTTATTGCTCAGGACCTGTACTTAACTCTGCTGCATCTCTGATGTATCTAATGCTACATCTTCTGTGCCCAAAACATCAGCTGCTTTCCCCTTCATTGTATGATAGATATTACCTCTCCTTATAAACAATGTTCAGTTTACAACTGTAGAAAACGTGGACACGTTCTCTTTTTTCTCCTGAGTTTACAGTAACTGTTAGGGGCTAAGTTTACTGAAATGGGATCACATATTTGCAAATAAGCCAGATATAACATGACATTAACTTGGTAGGGTTGAAATGCTTTTCTATGAAATTCCTAAATTTCCTCAATTACTTCTGGGTCAAGCTGCAATATTCTAAAATCTGTATTACCTAATTATTTATAGTGTAGATGCATTTGTGTGCAAGTGACGCACCCTCCACTCCTCACTCACTGGGTATTACGCAGTTTTCCACACTAAATGGAAGTAGTTTACCTAGAGAATACACCTTCTTAGTAGTATCAAAAAAATTACTTTTCAAGTAGATGAGAATTTCTGCATTTCATTTTCTTCATTGTCTTCAGTATCACCAATACCTGGTGACTGCTAAATTCTTCTGCCATGTGTGCTGCAGTTACTAGCAACCTAAAGAAGAAAAGACATATTTTCCAATGAAAAACAGATGAAAATCTCCAGCAAAGACTGCAGCAATTTTCTTTGTCTATGAGGGAAAGAACCAAAAGAGGGGTTCAGGAAATACAGGAAAACAAATTCCCTCAAACTAGAGACTTTTGTTCTCTGGACTTTTCTTCTAAACAGCTAATCTGTATAGCACAGGTAAAGGGGTGTGAGTGTGTTGGATCAGTGCATATTGTTCTGATGCTAGAAACCAGTGAGTCCAACAATTCCAAAAGTAGACAAGAAGTAGGGAAGATACTTTAAGACATTAAACAATTCATGATCAATCAGGAAGCTACAGATAACAGAATCAAACATGAACTGAAGTGGTTCTGGGGCAGTTAAAAAGCCAGTGTTTACCACAAATTAAATAAATAAATGATCTAGGAAAAGCTTTTGGAACTAAGTCAGCTATGGCAAAAACCAACATAGGCTTGCAGTATATCCAAATCTCTGAATAGAGGCAGATGTTCATGAAGGAAAGTATGAAAATACAACTCATTGTAATAAATAAAGCAAATTCTGCCTAAAACTACAGACTTTGAGAGACCCATGAGTAACACCACCCCAAGTAGGATTTTGTGGCACAAGAAAAAAAAGTCTGTAACATAATACTCTAATTGCTAAATAAACGTCAAAGTGTTCCCTGCTGACGACCTTTCATGAAGAATAGGATGTCAGCAATCTGGCACAGGACAAGATTCAGGCTGTTTCAGCTACTGCCAGTCTTAAAAAGGAAAAAGCAACACATACCACTGCACATATGCCTCAGGGAAAAGACAGAAAGCTTTTTACTACCATCCCCTGTGAAAGGAAGGCTGTAGTCTAAGACAGCTACAAGATGGTCTTGCATAACAGCATTTGCATATCACTTGATTGCTGGATCTAGCTTTCTATGCAACTGTCTCAAAACAAACTGCTTTGACAATGTTTTCATAGTTAAATCATCCATTGCTACAAAGTTACAACCAGGAAACCTAAGGCTCAGCTCACAGATGGCTCAGAAGTTCCTCCAAACATTAACACATTTTTAATTTCTGTGCAAGAAAATGTATATCATAAATAAGAAAAAATCATTAATAAACTTACCTTTCTCTTACCCTGGATCCTGCCATAGGCCCAAGAGCAAAAAATAATTTTGCAAAGGTTTCAGGATTGTAATAATCATCTATATTTTCAGACAGTAGCTGGTTAGCAAGCAAGCGGAATTCAGCATTGTCAAAACCCAGCTGCTCGTACAGTCCAAAAATATTACTAATACTGTGGATATCAAGACGGGAGGCACTTTTAAGGAAAATCCTGTTGCATTTTTCTAGCAATGGATGATATTTCAGTTTAATATTTTGAAGAAACTGTAGCATTCTTTTGGCATAGTTGAAGTGGCCTTCATTCTCTTCTTCCAACAGCTGTTCAGCCTTGTGTAGTAATCGATCTCGAAAACTCTGTGAGATAACATCAGATATGCCGACCATCAAAACTGACAAGATCCTAAAAAATTCAAAAGATTTTACACTTACACATTGAACATAATAAGCAATAAATTTTAGATTTCCTAAATAAACTACACAAAGAAAGGAATGGTAGTCAAGGTGCTGCTGGCTTCTGCACAAAAAGGAATTTTAGATCTAATGCAGAAAAAACAGATGAGCAAAAACCATTTATCCTTCTACAGTAAAAATTCTGCTTTCAGTGAACTTCTGAAACAATTGGGATTTTTCAGCCATCCCTAACAAAGCTGCATGTGATAAAAGCATTTGCCTAAGGCAGGAGTCTGATTTGCCTGATTCAAATTTGCAAAAAGATCTTTAATGCTCAATAGACACCAAAGAAACTCAAACAATTCTCAAGTGTCAGAATGGGGAGAAGAGTCATTGTCACTCCTAAAGAAAGAATCCCCTCCTAAGGGAATAAAACTTATGACCACAGGGAAAGTCACTTCTGTAAAGAAATGGAGTCCCATTCAATGAGTTTCATAGGCAGGATCCTCACATCTGCAAAAATAAGTGTTGGCATTGCTAATGCTGTATAAAACAGAAAAAAAGGAAAGAGAAGCCTTCACTATAGTGGCCCAGAGGGAACAGAGGCAAGAAAAAAGAAGCTTGGACTTCTTTGACCAGTGCTGTGTTTTAAGTAGTTTTAATATTAGGGTAATGTGCTGGACATGCTAGCAAGAGAATTCATTAATTCAGCTTGACTAGAAAAAAAATACTCCGCAGATAAATAAACACAGCATTGCTTTTAAACTTCTTATTGCTATTCACAATAGCTAACTAAATCCATGTCATAGTAGAGAAGCTATCGATGTCAGGGAAGAAAAACATCTTCTGGTGAGTCAATAGCCTCTAAATTATCAAAAAGTCCATGTTAAATTTAGAATCAGGATAAAGCTGATTCTAAATGTCTGCTATATTATTCTACTGTAAGTAGAACAGTGGAAATTAATTAAATCTTTATAACCTATCTAAACAATCAAACAGTAGTTTTAGTTGTTTAGATTGGTTATAAAGAAATCCCTCGTAAAATCATTGAGAAAATGCATTCACCTGTCAAACAATGCATGAACACAAAACACTTCTTTCCCACAAACTCCAAACTGAAGAAAAGCAACCTCCAGTTGAGGAAAAAAGGAAAGGGTTCAGGAAAGGCAGCACGGTAATTGTGACATATTGCTTCTCCTTAGCTTCATTCTGACACTTACCTTACATCCTGTATAGAATCCAGCTTCATGTCCACAATATGAGCTACTTGGCCAATTATGGGATTGAAATGCCTGTGTTGCTTGTATAAGCACAGTGTGAATTTAGATAGAGCTGGCAAACTAAGCCTGTCAAGACATTAAAGACAGACAGAAAGAATATTTACCTTTTATTTCTAGGGAATAACTAAAGACAAAAATCTACTTCAACAGTCATACAAAAAGCAAGGGTATACTCAAATTAAAAAACAAGGAAACAAAATACCTAGATGTTTAATATTAAAGCATGTTGTGCATATGGAACTCTACAAAAATCAGTTGTTCTTCACTTAGCCAGACCAGCCTAATAAAGATTATGTTCTCAAGCAATGATGTGAAATACATAAAATGAATGTGAGCAATTTATTATCTGAATATCACTTTGTGTTCAAGCTACACTGTATTAATTTACCTGTCAAGAAGCCCCACATGTTAAGATGAAAGAGGCAATTCTGTGGTGCTGGTGCCAAGGCTGACACTAGCTTCTGCCATTACCCTGAGATTACAGAATGAAAACTATAATATCCCCCCAAAAAAAGAAATCAAACCAAGCCAACAAAACCAACAACAAAATGCACAAAGGGAAAATGTTGCTGTTTTAATACAAAATGTTTTTACTAAATTGAGATGAGCAGGCTTCTAACAACCATTTATGAGCTGGACAGTAAGCACTGAGATAAAATTGTAAATATTAAACCCTGCAATTTCCTTCAAACACATAAATCTCCACAGACATTATATTTCAAAACTTTAAATGTTGGTCCCTGTTGTTGCAGCATCTGAATCTCTCATGCATTTGTGTACCAAAGTCTGTATGTATAATTTCCAAAACCTTCAAAAATACTCATATTATGTTTTAAACATACATACTCTTTGAGAACTCTTGTGTAACCTCACACGAAGCAAATCATGCTTGCAATGTACACCTTTCACAAAGCACAGCAATACAGTACTTGCCTTTCTAATCTTTTCCATGCTTCTGTAACAAGTGCTTCTGCTAGAGAATCATGGTCTTCAACATTGAGCCTTCAAAAGAAAGACATAATAGTTTGAAGCTTGCTCCCATAGTTACAAAGAAATAAGACATATGTCCTTTCATTATTTATCATGTTTTACTTTTCCATCGCTCCCTCCATTCAAACAGATTATAAACATTTGTGCATTAATAACTCATAACAATCATAAAACATATTTACTGGGAGTGCAAAACAGATCTGTTCTACCTGCATCTCAAAAACTGAAGCACAGGACATTACGCCATCTGTGTCACACGGATTACGGAAACTGTGGCAGGGCAGTCTCCCAATCTCCTTATAGTATGGCTCTATAGTCAAATTTTCCTCTCTTTTTATTACCAAATACAAAATATATATACATGGAATTCAATTTAATGCTCTTTACCTCAGAATACTATATAAGGTGTCCACTATGGCCTCATCTTCCATATCTTTCACCTTGTTTTCTGCCAAAACGCAAAGGGTAAGAAACTGGGAGTGATTTTTTACATACTCAGTAGTCCTTAAGAGAAACGGCCTCTTCTTTTGCAATTGCCACAGTATGTTGAATGCAATTCCCACATGCTTTTCAGAAAGTCTGGCCTTGTTCCTTGCAACAAGGCTAAACACTTCATCTTCATGGGTGCAGCTATTTATCTGGCTCAAAAGCAGATCACTACACAGAGTCCGAGCTTGGCAACGTCTCAGCGTAAGCAAGCAAACCCGCCTCAAACAAAGCATTTTGCTATGCCTACCAGCTATCTTTAAAGTGTCCAGAAAGATTCTTCTTCCAGTTTTCACAGTAAATCATGTTGTTACAAACAACAAATTCAAGTGTTTGAAAAACAGAAGACCGTTTTTCTTTGATCCCATATGGTCACTGTATTAAGAAGAATTCAATTCTGAGGTACCTGTAACGAGACCATATTAAAGCAGTTAAGTACAGTCACAACAACCAGGTAAAAATCAATGTCACTACACTATAATGTTCTGAGTGAGGTAAGCTTGAGAAGAACCTACAGCCTGGTATCTTCTCATAGAAAAACTCCTAACAATGAACACTGACATGCTCACAAGTGCTATGAAGTTAGTCCACTTGGTAAGCTTTCAAATTTAGAAACCTGCCTTTAAAAGCCACATGTGCTATCATGCTACTACTGAGAAAGCTGAACTTTTTAACATGCCAGCACTGCATGACTAAGTGAGGCTTGTTCTCACTAAGCCACTCCATAATGCCAAACTGGGGTCCAAGAACTGCCAGAAAATACAACTATTGGTGGTAAAAGGAAGTAAGATGGCTTTTAGTCAGGAAGGTTAACCACCTTTGTAATACAGACTATTGAACAGTCACACATCAGCTGAAATCACCCATTGTGCAAAAGAAAAGCAACTTAATTCCCCAAATTATAGTGGAAGCTACAGCCTTATCCATCGAAATTTGGTATTAATTTGTTTCCTTAGAATACACGCCAGTTTGTACAAAGGGCTAACAACTACGTACTCTACAACCTACAAAACTGGTTCCAAGCTGGGGAACACAAACCACTGGTGATAAATGTCATGGTACACTAAAAAAGACCCATCAAATTCCCTCAACTCAGAGAGTATGGTAAAGTCTTGAAGTCTTGTTTTAGGAGATATAATCATTAACAACAAAAATTATCAATACCTTTGGCAAACTTGAATGTTCTTCAACTGTTCACATGATTCCATCAGTGTAACGTTATCAAGGTAGTGGCAGCAGCACACACTGAGGAAGAAAAAACCTTATTTGAGCAGTCTATGTAAGGTACTGAAATCATTCTAGAAAGTTGGATATAGGTGGATTTCTTTTGATGTCTGTACAATCCACTTCAGAGCATAAAAATCATTTAGCGTATTGTACTACATTGCTGTTGCTGGCACTGGGGCAGATACAAGGAAAGCTAAAATGAAGTAATTTTAATTTATGATCTGTCATAATATGAAATGTTTTCTTCCCTATGCAAAATGAAAGCACACAAAAATAAAGGTACAAATTTTCCAGATATTATGTATTAAGTATTAACTACCTTTTATAATAATGATTTGCTTTATAGTTCCTTTTCAGATATTGCTTTTATTGCTTCTATTTGTTCCATATTGTAGTTGCCTTTACAAATAATTTAGTTCCCACAGTGCTGGCAAGCTAAACTGCAAGAAGTCAGGATGAAGTAAGCCCCCAGGTAAGTCGTCCTTTCCCGTTCTCGAGCTGCAATGGAACTTACGTCCTCTATCCTATTGATGGGCAACCAGGATCTCTAAAACACTCCACAGGAAGTTTCCAAATCTTTCTCTTTCTGGAAGTGATTGAGCTGATGCAAGTGATTTACCACAAACTTGTATACAATTTTAAATTGTAGTTAATTCTAATATCCTTTTAAAAGTACATCAATAGAAAACATTGGATGTTTTCAAACTTACAAATACGTAGACTAAACCCAGGAAATTTGGATATATTTAAAGAACTATTTCTAAGGTGTTCCACTTACCACACGGGCAAGAAAGTCTCTAAAATAATTTTCTAACAGTTGAAACACAATAAGCACTTTCAAGGTCGTATTACAAAATACAGTGAGCCAGGAAATCTTCCACAAAGGGGAAAATGTGGACACCCGCCACTCCCCAGGCATAAGAACTATTAGAGATTTAAGTAACTAGGCCGTAAGACAGGTGCTCGTGCAGCACAGGGTGTTTTTCCCCCGCCTGCCCGACTCCCCTCAGCCGCGTGGGCGCTGCCGCGGGGAGCTCAGCCCCGCAGGCCCCGGGGACCAGCGCCGGCCCCTCCCGTCCTGGGCCGCGCACCGCCCGCTGCCACCTGCGCGCCGCCTTCTTCCTTCCCGCGGGAATTCTGACCCAAAAGCGTTTAGGAAGAGCGTGGCAAAGGGCTAAGACGCCGCGCAGGCCTCAGGCCGGCGATGGCCGGGGCGAGGGCGGCCAGGGTCCCACTGGCCCCTCCGCAGGCGGGGCGCGACCCGCGGCGTTGGACTCGTGTCCCGCCTCTGACACCGCTCTCACGGCGCCAGCCTCCGGTAGGCCGCGGGTACCGCCGGCGGCGGCCGCTGAGGGCCGGCCCGCGAACCCCTGCGCGCCTGCGGCACCGGGCGGCACCGGGAGGCACCGGGAGGCACCGGGCGGGCGGGCGCGGGGCGGCAGCGGCTGCCAGCGCCGGCTCCAGCGAGGGCTGCGGGCACGACAAGGTCCGCGGTTAAACAAAAAAGCAAAGGAGTCAGGGTCACCGGCGCAACTTTTGAGACGTCCCCGCCCCCGGAGAACACAATCCGAGGAGCTCTCAGCTTACCCTTCCCCAGGACCTTCCTGCATTGGAGCCGCTGGCGAACGCCGCTCGCCCCGAACACGCCGCAGCGCTCCACGTGCCTCTGCACTGTCACCCAGCGTGCGCATGCCCCAGGACACGCCGTTTCCCGGGAGTTGCTGCCGGGAAGCGTAGGGAGAAAGGGGAAAGTCCAGCCAGTTAGACTTCTCAGAGGAAATAAAAATAATAGTTAAAAAGTTCCAAGGTCGTATTGCTTATTGAGGTCATTTTTATAAAACCAGCGTTACAATGGCTTTATAACACGTTCTGAGTGGGTAAAAAAAAAAGTCTTCCCCCCTAGAAAAAGCACAAAGGGACTGAAGTTCAGGAAGGGTGAAGTTGAAGAGTTTGGCTTCGTTGTACTGGAATTAATGTTACTTTATTTTACAATATAATTTTTTATGCTTTCCAACAAAGATTAATTTAAAATGTATGAGTTCTAGAACACAAATATGTTGCAACAAGTAGGTTGCTTATGTTGTATACACATAGCTCCAGGTCATCTTTCTGGACCTTTTCTCACTGCTATTGATAATAACAGAGACATTTAGAACGAATGATAACAATCTCAGATTGCTCTAAAATTTTATCTAAAATCATAACCAGGAATGTTACCATGACCAATTCTGACCAGCTGTTTTGCAGCTGTCTGTATTAAGGGTTTGGGGTTTCTACTTTTTGTCTGCTGCTGACTGTATATATACCTCCTAATATATTGGATGCTTATGAATATGGAACTCACTCAAACCAACAAAATAGCCCTTATTTTATTTATTACAAGGTCTGTAGTGTTTTAGAAAAACAGCATGTTCATTTTTTAACTGGATTTGTAACCAGAATTTGTAACTGGAACAGCTCCTGTATCCTGCTAACACGTCCAGATCATCTCAGTTACAGTCTACAGACCCAAACTCTGTCAGGTGATATCAAAGGGTGGCATTTATCTCTTTCAAGAAACTCAGGCCTTCTGCAAACTCACATAAGAATTCCAAGGCATCTGACCCCTCAGCTGCATAGGAAAACAATTCCACATTCATATGAAGGCAACTTCTGCAAATCATATGGATTTTTCATTTACAAGATGCCGAACTCCTGACTTGTCAAGTACATGTGGATAAAATAAAACAATGTCTAAACAAAATACAAAAGGCTAGTTCACTCACCAGCTTCTTCAGGACTTCAGAACTCTCAAGGGTCAATTTCTCTTTTTTTTTTTTATCAGATGTCCATAAAGGGAACATTAGTTTTTCCGGTTTCAAGAATTTTCTCAACAGCCAGTCAAGTAACTTCCATTACCTCCTGTTATATCTATGATTATTGACCCAATTCCTCACTGGTTTGCATTAAAACCTGGCAAAGGATGTACATACTTCCGCACAAGTCTTAGTTAATCTTCTAGGTGCTTGCAACTTTATGCATTGTTGTAAACTTTCATGTTCCTATTTTAAGAGATATTAACTTTGAATGGCAATACAGACATACGGGGTAAGACTATCAGTAACTTTTTTTTCCCCACAGTTGGCCTAAATTCCTATTTTAATTCTTAACAATCCCTAGCGAGGTGCACTGCTGGAGGAACCCTGAGCGCTTCAGCGCCGTGCCGGGCGCTTCATCTACCAACCCTTGGCCATTTCCCGGGCTTCTCGCTGAGGCGCCGGCGGGGACGACCAGCACTGTTCCCGAGCACGTCTGGCCGGAAAGGCCCCGCGTAGCTGCAGCCGCTCCAGCCTCACCGGCCCTTCCCGCCCCGAGCCCAGCCGGGCCCCGGGCGGCGGGGCCGGCGGGAGGGGCGGAGCGCCGCTGACGAGCCCGAGGAGGCGGGCGTCCCCTCCCTCCGCCGCTCCCGCTTCTTGCGAGCGACCCCCGCCGCCTCCGGGCAGCGCTGTGCCGTCACCGCGACCCCCGCACCGTGGGCCGCCGCCCCTCCCGCCGCCGCTCCCCCGCCCGCCTCCGCCGTTCCGCCCCCGGCCGCCGCTCCCGCCCTGCCCGCCACTGACGCAGCCGTGCCGCACCAGCTCAACATGGCGGCGGCGCGGCGCTGAGCGGTGCGGGGCGACAAGGGCCGCCAGGGGTGAGTGCCGCCAGCGCCGGGGCCGGAGCGCCACAGGCAGGGGCGCGCCCGAGGGGGGACAGCGGCCCGGGCCGCGCCGGGGGGCTGGGCGGGCGGCGGAGGAGGAGGTCATGGTGCCGTGGGGCCTGAGCCTCGGTCTCGGCGCGGGTGGGAGCCCCGGCCCCTCCCGGGCCGGCCGCCGCTCGGGGCGGGCGAGGGGCAGCCGCAGCCGCCCGCGTTGGCTCCGCGCACGCTCTCCTCGCAAGGCCCCGCGGCCCGGGCCCGAGGGGCGGGAGGGCCGCGGCGCATCCCGGGGGAGGCGGCCCCTGGGAGGGAAGGGGTGTGAGGAGCTGCGAGCGGGGCCCAGGCAGGCGGGAGCGGCAGCGGCGGACGGGGCCTGGCGCGCATCGCCGGGGGTCGGGTCCGCCGGGCCGGCTGTGCCTTCCCGCTGCCCGGCGAGCCGCGGGCCTGTGCCCGCCGCGAGCGCCCTGCTCGGCCTCGGGTGCTGCTGGGGAGTTTGAATGAGTCGTCCCTCCTCCCCTAGACTGGGAAGGAACCGACCGGGCTGTCTGCGCGCCACATGTTCTCCTCCCCTCTGCAGGCCTCTCCTAGGGAAGTGGAGCCTGCAGGAGCTACCCTGGCTGGCAGGAGAGTCCCCTGCCTCTATTTTTCAGGGGTTTCCTAAGGCACTTCAGAGACTTTTATGACTGTTGAGTTTCAGGCTCATTTTGTTTGCAGCCCTGACCAAAATAAAGTGCTGCGTATATATGATTGTATTTGGAGGCATTGAGGAGGCTTTGAAAGAGGCTTAGGAGAAAAAGAAATAGTTTTTTGAAACTATGGACAGAATATTTATTGCAATGTTAAACATTGCCTTTCAGTTCAGTCACAATTACAAAATTTATCAGTAATGATAAAAAAGTAACTTTGGCCAGTAGTTGCCTAATGTTTGACTGGTTAAGCTAATTATATTTTAGTAATCATCTGAGAGCTGTTTTAAAAGAAACATGAGACCATTTTCTTTGCATAAAGTCTATTTTCTAAGCTGTATCTTTTCTTCTGAGAGAATAGTTTGGTTTTTTCATGGTTTTGTTTTATATTGCTTGCAGAAGAGGCTGTTCTTTGGACAGTGATAAATGTTTCTAGGTTGATTGTTTTGCAGGTTTTTTTTTGTTTTTTCCCCCCATTTTGTTTCACTATTCCGATGCATTAATGCATTGGGGTCCAGTATGACTCAAATTTTTAGGTGCTACCATGATAAAACTGTGATAATAATATGGAAGTTACACATGCTTTATGAAGCATTAGTTTATCTAAACTCACAGAGCTTGATTTATCAGTTTTTAAAAATGATTTCTAAATATTTCAGAAATACTGTGATTTCCTTTATATGAAGTAGATCTGAAGGGGAGCATAAAAAGGATACCAGCTTCAATAGTTCTCTGAGAGCACCCTTTGGGACTATATTTCTTATTAAAACTTCCCATTTTTCCAATTCTCTTCTGTGAAACAAATACTGTTTGTTTAATTAGCTAGCACTCCTCAAGCTGTTATCAAAAGAAGATTATTTTTTTTCCCTTGGAGCATCTCAGAAAATCTGTAGATTATGAAGGAATTTGGAGTGAAGAATATGTACTGCAGTGGAGGATTTTACTGTGCTGTAACCTGTTTTCTCCACTACCAGTTCACTCCTCCATGCTTTGTGCATTTGGGAGCCATCTTCCATTTAGGAGCAGAGTCAGTGAGTGCCAGGGAGAAAGTCTGGCCATCTCCTAATGCACTGAGGTTTAGGTAGGAGGGTGTGATGAGGCATAGAAGAGATCTAGAGCTAGAGAAGTAGAGGAGGGAGGAGAACATGAGAATAAAAGATGATAGAACAAGCTTTTTGTGGTTATGGTTGACAAATACGGAACAACATTCAGAACTATGTCCTACTGTTGCATGGTTGTCTCGCCTTATTGTCGTCTTCAGTAATGGGTAGGAAGGGATTCCATTGCTGAAAGTAGTTTGGGATTTATGTGACTTGGAGATTACACCCTGTGGAATCTTTTTTTCCCCTTTCATACAATGCAAAAACTTGCCTTTTCTTAGCACTTTATAAGTTGTGCTAAAAAAAAACAAAAAACGGTACTTATTTGTGCACAGACCTGCCAGAAAACACCAGTATTTTTTCACAAATCATAACAGAGAAAAAACAATACCTTCTACATAAATTAGATAATGTAAAATTACTGCTAAGACTTGACAACTCAGATTTTACTTGCTAGTGATAAGAATGTGGTTAGATATTTCAACATTTTTTATTGCAGTTACCTCTTTTCTAGAAAAATAGAGAGGATGTTCCGGTGGGAACCTGTGTTTCTCTTTAAGTAGTTTAAGAGAATGTTACTGCCTTCTCAGATGAATCCTGCCCTCTCCCAGCTGAGGTGTTATAACTGAGTGTTCATTCCTTATACCTTAGTACAAGAAGACTAAAGTCCTGTTCATAACTGTAAAAAATCATACTGAAAGTGATATAAATGAGCTACCAGTGTGGTAGTGTTAGGGCTGTGTTCAGGACCTATCTAAGGATGATATTTTCTTAAGTCTCCCTAGAAGGATAGCTGGCTATTGCCTCTTGTCCATGGAAGACAGTGTTTGATATTGCCAGATGTCTCTTAATTTGACTTCTTTTTTTAGAGGGAAACAAATACTATGTCAGTCGCCCAAAACAGACTTGTAGCATTTTTCTAGACAAGGAGGCCTGATGGAAAGTGGTGTCAGTCACTTTTTGCCTGCAAAAATGTTGAAAATCCATTTTGCGATTGGCTTTTCTTGAAAGGGGCAGTCAAGTTGAAACCTATAATGTGTGATTTCTAGTGATGAGTGGAAAGTCTTCCTGCATAAATCTCATAGACCTGTGTAGAAAGCAAATGTTTTCTTCTTTTCTTATTGATGTGTTACATTCATGTGATTACGAAGACAGCATCCTAAATGTGAAATGTATTCAAGTGTAGTACCTTATTTGTAAATATGCTGACAACAAAAATCCTGTGCTGCTGATTAGTAAAATGAAAAAAAAACACCTTAATTTCCTCAGATGTCATTGCCGCTAATGTAGAGGTTTTGGATCATGAAGTACAGAGGAAAAGATGGTGGTGTTTGGGGAAAAGTGCTGAGGAAATTATGAAGTTTGAGATTTGGGCTGGTTGGGTTTTTGTTGTTCACGTCTTCGGTATCATCCTAATACAGCTGGATGCTCTGTCCCAGGAATGGAACTCTGAACAAATTTTCATGTCTCCCATTTTGCAATCATAAATTTATTTCCTGTTAAATCCATACTGGAATGAACATACAACATTTTTAGACTGTGCCTCTGCCATCACTTTAGGCTGATATATGCTGCTGCCAAATCTTCCCTTGGAGTGGGGGAAGAAAGGGTAGTTTTTATGCAGCCAGGTAGCTTGTATGAAAGCTAAACACATGGATGTAGGAACCTTCTGTTCTGGTTTCAGCCCAGATTTATATTGTCTTCAAGTGACTGCAACCACAGCCATAAAGAATGTGATATATGTTCAGTATTCACTTCGTGTATTTGCATTTTCTGAACTCAAAGTTTTGCTTACAAACATATTTCTGGAGATTCTACTTTCTATCTTTGAAATATATGTCAATATAGTTTTGTCTTCCTGCATTTGTAGATGGGTCTGAAACAAAATGCTAGGAATATGAATTTAGGCACTTTATTGTTCACTTCATTTGGACATGGAATGAAGACCAGTGCAGAAGATAATTGTAAGTTCATGCAAGGAAGTGCATACAAGAGCAAGGTCAAGGAGAAGTTAAAAATCTGGAATAACTGATGATGGCGGGGAAAGAAGGGAAGGAATAGGACACAATATATAATTTTCCTACTAAATACATCTTTTCTCACTGTTCTGTCCTGTCCTGGGACTGAAACAAATAAGTAGTCCCATGACCTGTTCAGCAGAGTTACAAATAAAGTTGGTTTTTTCCCCTTGTAAAACTAGGAAATACTCATGTTTTGCTGCTTGCTATCAGCTCTTGTGGGATGCATAACACATTGATACTTCACTTGCTGTGCATCTGTGAGTGTTTTCTAGCCTGTTCAGTCAAAAGGTTCTAGTATATATTAAACGGTATTATTACTAGATCCTTGCTAGCACAGGTGATTTTGGAAAAAAAAAATCCCCAAGATGTTTGTGGGGGTTTTTTTAAGCATGTCAGTGCATATCAGTGATAATCCCTAGCAGAAAGATGCTTATTGTGCTGGTTTAAAGGTAAAAGAGCAGGGGAAATTAACTCAAAAGAGAGATTCTAAATCAGAATAACAATTTAATAAAATAATACAATGAGTACGATTATACAGACAAACAATTGGTTTTAACCCACAAAACCCAAATGTATAACCCAGCACCCTGGGGCATGAACAGAGTGGTGTTCGTTGGGCCCCCTGAGTCCAAAGGAAAAGGAGAGGGGAAAACCTGTTGGTGAGAGTGCTGTTGCAGCCTGGTCAAGAGTGGTGATTGCAGTCCGGTCTAGGGTGGTGGTTACAGTCTGGTTGAAAAGTGGTGGTTGCAGACCAGTTGAGAGTGGTGGTCTGCAGTCTGGTTGAGAGCAGTGATCTGCAGTTATCCTCTGGATCCCACGAGTGGTTAAAAAAGTTCCAAGACTCCCAAGACTATATATTCTCCAGTTCAGGC